TTATTTCACTATAAGTATCCAAACCAGAGAATTAGTCGAGCTACAATAAGTAAAGTATCGAAAAAGTTTCAAGGAACAAGAAGTTAAAAGATTTATCTGGATCAGGAAGGTGAAGAACGGTAAGCGAAAATGACCGTCAAGATATGATGCTCGCCGTTACTGAAAATTCTCACTCATCCATTACATCTATATCAGCCAAGTTCAATTTTTCGAAGTTCTCAGTTCACAGAACTCTGAATTCTCAAAAGTGGCATCCTTACAAAGTTAACGTGTTACAAGAACTATGGACAGATGACACAGACAGAAGATTACAGTTTTGCGAGAAAATTAGAAATTTATTTGAAAGACAACCTAACTTAAAAAAACCACATAATTTTCACTGACGAAGCAACTGTTTCCTTAAACGAAACCGTGAACAGGCTAATTACTAAGTTTTGGAGCCTAGAAAATTCGCATTGGATGCAAGAAAAACATACACAACGGCCGGAAATAGTGGATGTTTGGGCTGAAATAGTAGGATTAGAAGGATTATACAGGGTGATTCACAACTTATCCAAATAAATTTGAGAATAGATGCAATATGAGAAATGGAATCAATATCGTAAAAAAAAATTGTAAAATCCTTATAGTTTCCGAGAAAAAAAATATTGAAGTTATAGTATATTCAACCACTACATAGCTGGACAACTGTAGTCTCTAGCATTATTCGCCACGTGGCCCCAGCGACTCCGAATACTGAAATCGGATTTTGCAATCGTCGTTGCGATAGTATTTACCTGTTATCTGTGGTGTTTACAATAGGTTTTTATTAGTTAGTGTCAAAAATGGGTAGTTAGTGTCAAAAATGGTTTGCGTGTAGGTATAGCAACTCGGAATTGATGGATATCGTTTTTATTTATGGTGAAGCATTTTGTGTTATGGTGAAGCAAGACAACATTTGTGTTAGTTCGTAGAAACTGAGTAAGACGGACCCAAATGTGTTTACACGTTGGTGGATAAAATTTTGAACAATTGTTGTTGTAACATCGGGTATGTCAAATGATTTTATTATTTAAAAACACAAATTAATTTTATTACTAAAGGCAAAAGCAGTTGAATTTGCCGATATAAAATAGGTGCGATAAAATTCTATTTACATATTTATTTCCTTGCGAAGGTTTTTGTCCGTTTTTATCACACCGCCATGCCGGTCGCATTGTGCGAGGTTAGGTTTTACAGTGGACCAGTTTCCAGTGCCGTGCAGAGGTGTATTTTTAAATCATTTTCGAACTGTCCTTTTTGATTTTTTCTTTACAAAATTGTACTTGTAAGGGTCCCCTGTACATCCAGATTTTTTTTTTGATAAGTTCTGAATCACCCTGTATATTTACTATAAAATATAGAGCGTCCTATTAAAAAAAATATCTGTAATGTTATAGGTCTGTCAAACATTGTTCAAAAAAATAGAAAATATTGCAGAAAAGTAACAATTTCTATTTACTAATTGACCTGTTTCAGCGATTTTTTTAAATCTGAACTGGAAAAAAAATATGAATTTTGTTCCCTCATACTGTATATGATTAATCAATTCGTATTATATGGAAGAAGTAGTAAAATAGGAATAATTCATTCAACACTATTTTCCTTACATAGATAGTAAAACCTTTCACCATCAAAATGCCATTTTAATTGCCAAATACAAAAATTATTTCGGAGTAGAATATGTATTTTAAAACTAAATTTGATAATTTAGTAATTATTGCGGTTACAGTTAATGTTTTTGAAATCACATCTAAGAATGTTTAAAAATCTTGTAATCTCTCAAAAGGGAAGTTATTTGGTTATCCAATAACTAAAAAAATTATTTCAAATTTTATGATACCAACAAATCGCATTAATCTTAGAAAAATGTCGCCATGTTTATTTGCAAATTTTCATTATTTACGTAAATATTATAAAAAATGATCGATATTTTGGGGTCGGTTTATACAGAATGTTTTGGGAAAATTTACATTCAGGGGCTGAAAAAAATATAAAAAAATAAGATTATGGTCTTTCGTTTTTGAGATAAAGGCCTCAAAAATGATTTTCAAAAACTAAAATTTAGCCGTATTTTCCATAAGATAATGCAATGTGATACAATATGATACAGATTATTAGGGATGTAAAGTGGGGGTGTTATTAGTTATTATTAAATTCTAACATTGTTCCTGTAAATAATGGTGTACCGTAGGGGTCTGTTTTGGGGCCTCTACTCTTTCTTGTTTATTTTAATGACCTTCTCGGTGCTCTTGACGATCTTATCAGGTAGTGACACATATTTTAATGTTTCCCTATTTGACAAAGCTAAATATTGGTTTTCAGCAAACAAACTAATGTTAAATGAGTCTAAAACTCAACACATGAACTTCACATCCGGTAGAAACTGTTAGGTTTAATGTTGGACGATCACCTAAATTGGAAAGCTCATATTGATACTTTGTGCACAAAACTATCTTTTCAAATATTCGTATTACGACAACTTAAAAATTGCTTGCCTCATGATATTCTAAGATCTGTTTATTTCTCTTTAATAACTAACCGTTGGACTTACGGAATTTTATTTTGAGGAAATTCAGCATCGTTTATGAGAGTCTTTTGCTTGCAAAAATCGGCTATACGCAATATCAGTAATTCTTCACCAAGTACACACTGTCAGCCATTATTTAAAAAACTAAAAATTCCCCCATTACCATGTTTGTATATACTAGAGTTATTACTCAACACTCACTGTAACATAAACGAGCTTAGACACAATTATGATAATCATAATTATAATACAAGACATGCTGATGATCTGATTGTCCTGAAATCCTGGATTGACATTGCTAAAAAAATAGTTTGGACTTAAAACTTATATTTTAGTAAGTAGATTCGCTCAACACAAAGTTAACGCAATGAATTTTAAACTTTTTAAACCATTTACCAAGCATTACTTAACTTAAAATTGTTTTTATAGCGTTCAAGAGTATATAAAATTGACATTTAAATAAATTTTACATATTCACTTACTGTCTTTTTATATTTTTTATATTTTATTTATATTTGTGACACAACATGTACCTTTTGTATATAAAATTGTCAATAAACAATACAATAATATTAGTTTTTTGACTATCAACTAGATGTCACTAGCTACCACATTTCCCACAGACATTTCACGACGTAACTTCTTTGGGATTAGGTTTTTTACAGTGTCATATATTATAATGCAAAATTTCAGTTTTCCAAAGAAAAGGTGCTCTTGCTGAAATTGTTAAAGCTTCCAACTTACTCCCAAAGTCAACCTCATTAATATACAAGGTGTCTGGAAACGACTGCGCCTTACTTTAAGGGTAGTTTTCTAGGAAGAAAATAAACCGATTTAGACCAAGTTACCTTAGTAGAATAGTAGTGTAAGAAACCTAACCTCAAAAAAAATTGTGTGCCATGTCATAAAATGTCACTGAAAAATGCAATTCCATTGTTTTTTAAAAAAGATATGGCCAAACCTTGATTTTAAAAAATCATCCGTATCTCAAAAACAAAAGAAGATCCATAGGAAAGAATCGTCTTTTTTGATGTTCGAATAACTTCCGAATTTATAATACCTTTTTCCTAAACCATCACTTGAAATGTTAAATATCACCACCACACAAAAAAAAAGTTGTCTGAAATGTACATGCGACATATGATTTCCGATTTCGCCCGCTGAACACGAATCCGGAGTCAGTATTGCTCCATCGCCCTTCAGTTTTCAGCAAAACGCTGAAGAATCTTCTGAAAAATTAAAATTTTCCCTAATGATAGATTTTATAGATGGGTAACGTTCGTTATGAGCAATACAAAGTTTCCTAAAATTTTTGCCCGCTAAATACGGGTCTGTAATGATGGTTTTTAATCAACCTTCATTCTTCAGCGAAATTCAGAAGAATCTTCAGAAAAATGAAGATTTTGAGCTTGCTAGTTGAAGCTTGTCGTGTGATACATGTTTTCTATAGCATTTTTCCTGTTGGATTCGGAATGTATATTTCTATACCGACCTCTTCAGCAAAATTCAGAAGAATCTTCAGTCTTGAAAATATATCAGCTCTTTTTCCGAGAGCTGATTCCTTCTGGGTCGTTATGAAGCTGATCGAATTCTAACATCGAATTCGTAAGTAATGATGCTTTGGAAAGTATATATACAGCATGTACATAATCATGTATTTACCATTTTTGTGAAGACTCTTCTGGGCTTTACTGAAGACTGAAGAAAAATGGATAAATTCAGATTCCGGATCCATGTTCAGTACGCAAAAATACTTCGAAATCATACTACAAATACTTCAAACTACATAAATGGAGTTCCAGATATAGTTAATAAGCACGAAGTCTTCATGTTTCTGGAGATTCTTCCGAATTTTTCTGAAGACGGAAGGTAAGTGGAGTAAAAAAAGATTTCCTATCAAAGTTCAGCGGGAGAAATACTATGGAAAATATGTATCACAAGCAAAGCTTCAATTAACAAGCTGAGAGTTTTAATTTTTCTGAAGATCCTTCTGAATTTTGCTGAAGACGAAAGGTCGGTATAGAAATATACATTCCGAATCCGAGTTCAACAGGAAAAATGCTACAGAAAACATGTATCACACTACAAGCTTCAACTAGCAAGCTCAAAGCTTCATTTTTCTGAAGATTCTTCTGAATTTCGCTGAAGAATGAAGGTTGATTAAAAACCCTCATTACAGACCCGTATTTAGCGGGCAAAAATTTTAGGAAACTTTGTATTGCTCATAACGAACGTTACCCATCTATAAGATCATAGATCATTAGGGAAAATTTTCATTTTTCAGAAGATTCTTCAGCGTTTTGCTGAAAATTGAAGGGTGATGGAGAAATTCTGACTCCGGATTCGTGTTCAGCGGGCGAAAATACATCGGAAATCATATGTCACATGTACATTTCAGACAATTTTTTTTTTGCGGGGTGGTGTATTTATTGAAATATTCCTCAATCCGCAGATGTTCCTGGACCGATTCCCGGTGAGCCGGTGGTGGTCGACACGGGCCGCAACTGGGTCAGCCTGTCCTGGGGTAAACCAGAACACCGAGGTGCTTCCTCCATCGTGGCGTACCGTGTCGACGCCTGGTTGAGGGGTGGAGAGGGCGCGAGATGGGTGGAACTAGGTATGTCTCCCTTGAACACCTTCGACGCCTTCAACCTTAAGCCAGGGGGCGAGTATCAGTTCAGGATTACTCCAAGGAACAGGTACGGATGGGGAGAGAGCGTCCAGAGCGGTACCATCATAGTAGGCAAGCACAACGCTTTGCCCGAATTTACCAAGATCTTGCCTGGACAGCTAAAGGCTTTGCTAGGGTCCGATATTGCTCTCGAATGCGAGGTGAGTACAAAAAATCACTAACAAAATTTTTTGTAAAAAAATTAAAACCTGTTTAAAACCTTTGTTTTAAAATAAAATCATGTTTTTGTTCAATTGTGTGTTCAGTCTGGAAATTTATCATTTAAAATACGATCGCTTATGTACTTTGTCGCCTCTAGATACAGATTTACATTGTAGTCCCCTAAGCTTTAACTAGGAATCGTTAATCTGCTTTTTGGGATTGAGGCTGACTGAGAACTCAGTCGCAGGTAACCTTTTTGTAAAGTATCGGTCTAACGGTCCAGATGAATAACTTTAATTTTCACTTGGGACCCTCTTTAGATCCTACTGATCACACCGTTGATCCTCTTGATTACCATATCCCTTCTCTGCAAGGAGTTTTGGAACTTACAAGATTTTTCTTTCTTCCTTACTGGGTTGTAAAGTTACAGTAGATCTCCTGTCTAGAACCCACTGGTGTTCTCTCACATCGTACCGTGTTTTCAGCCAATTACTTTCAAACTCAATTTTCTGTCGGATTTTGTCATGGATGGCATCAATTCCTTTGGATTACTCGGATATATAGTCTTCGAGTGAGTCAAGCTGATCTTCTGTGTGTCCAACAATAATATCTAATAATAACCTCAATTCTCTACCGAATACTATACTGACTGGTAAGAAAAAGGGGACCTATTGGTTCCAGTCGGTTTGATATTCATTGACGCAATTATTCGCAAACGAATGCAGGGGTGTTGTTCTGGTCCTTTTATTATTCATCAATTGGCAAACTCTTTGGAACACATCCGAATCAAAATTTCGTCCTTGATCCGAATCCAGGTCTATTTCTATACCGAATCTGCAGAAGTTTTCAACGAGAATTAGCTAGTATAACCTTTCTTGTTTACACCGAAGTGTCTCTCCACCAAGGACTTTCCTCAGCACTTTGTGGATTCTGTTCCCTGAGAGTACGATCTGCTTCCATGCTTCGCTATCTGAACTTTTCCACGATCTTTACAATATTTTTTTTCTAGAATGAGTGAGTCCCATATTGATTGTCCATGATTTGTCCGATATTTCTGTCACTTTTGAGTTTATCTTTTATATTCCCCATATCAGATGTATGCTGTTTTGCATTCATCTCAGATCTTCGTTCGTTTATCCTGTCCTCATATCAGATCTTACACTCATTTCCATAAACTATTTCATTAACTCGTTCATTTCTTCATTTCTGCTACTTTAGATTTTGTACTCACTGGCATCTATAGATTTCCTTTATTTGATACGATTATTTTGAAACTGTTAACTTACTTTGACTCTACATTTCACAATAAAAAAATATATAACTTAATCATTCGGTCGTTTATACATTTTTCATTGTTTTTCCAATTTTCAATAGATTTCTAAGAACAGTTTATAGTCCAGTCATTATAGATATGAAACAGCCTGTTTCGGGAAAAAAATACTATTAGAACTCGAGGCTAGTTGGGAAACTTTGTTTAAACAATGGTCAAAGTTATGAAAAGTGGTTTTTTGACTCGCGTAAAAAACTATTATTCATTGCGAAAAAACGTTTATACAAAAAAGTAGGTATTAAATAAGCTTATAAAATGAGACAAATCCGGTATAATTCCGATAATTTGTTTATGCGCAAGAGCTCAAAAATTGTCGAAAATGGCCGTTTTTTTCAATTGCTAATAAGTAATGCAATTTTCATCGCAGATACTTGTAATTCAGGATTTTTGAGGCTTTTTAGACCCCTAACAAGTGGTAAAAATTTCAACTCGAAAGCTTCATTGGTTTGGCGTTGGCGGCATTTTTATCTAAGAAGATGCTATTTTCAATTCATTTTTCCCAAGCTCAAAGGCGTTGTAGAGTTTCAGTCATTAGTTGTTTTTGTACCTAAATAGTTGTATTGACATATGCATTTACTGACAATTTAAGTTTTCAAATTTAATTTGTTTAAAAATGACTGAAAAAATGTTAATATTTATTAAATTGTTAAGATAGGTAATTATTATAAAATGAAATAGTAACCTCTGTAGTTTAGTTAATACTATTTTTCTTCGAATTTAAAAAAAAATCGTTGTTCTAAGTTGATTAGAAGCTGAGATTTTTTTTTATTTATTTAATCGCAGTGACCTTAATTATTAATATTAAGAGCCGAAATTTGGCGAGAGTATACCTGTATATTAAGAGCTATATTTGTATGTCCTATATTAACATTAAGGTAAATTCAACTATTTAATTGGAAAAAAGAAGATAGCCGCGATGCGTTCTATTACTCGGTCTGGCGAACGCGTGGGGAGAGCGAGGCGGAGCATGCGCTCTACGCGCCTGTTTGCGCTCAGGAAAATGATCGAGCGGCTTCAAATCGATGGAGCTGGAAAAATTAGCCATATCTCGGTTAATAATGAACCTATCGAGATGATTCTTTTTTTAATTTGTGGTAGCGCGAAAATTCATGAGCATTCAAGCTATTGTATTAACATTATTTCAACCCGAGATTTAATTTTTTATTTAGCCTCGCTTCCCACTCGTTCGCTAGACCGAGTAATAGAACGCATCGCCGATATCTTCTTTTTTCCAATTAAATAGCTGAATTCACTTTAATGTTAATGTAGGACATGAAAATATAGCTCTTAATGTATACTCTCTCCAAATTTCGGCTCTTAATATTATAAAATTTCATTTTATAATAATTACATATCTTAACAATTTAATAAATATTAACATTTTTTCAAAGTCATTTTTGATCGAATTAAATTTGAAAAATTAAATTCTCAGTAAATGGATATGTCAATACAACTATTTAGATACAAAAACACTAATGATCGAAACTCTACAACGCCTTTGATCTTGGGAAAAATCAATTGAAAATAGCATTTTCTTAGATAACAAATTCCGCCAACGCCAAACTAATGAAGCTTTCGGGCTAAAATTTTTACCACTTATTAAGGGTGCAAAAAGCCTAAAAAATCCTGAATTACAAGTGTCTGCGATGAAAATTGCATTAGTTATTAGCAATTGAAAAAACCGGCAATTTTCGACCATTTTTGAGCTCTTGTGCATAAACAAATTATCGGAATTTAATCGGACTTGTCCTAATTTACAGATTTATTTAATACCTACGTTTTTGTATAAACCTTTTTTCTCTATGAATAACAGTTTTTTTACGCGACTCAAAAAACCACTTTTCCATAACTTTGACCATTGTTTTAACAAAGTTTTCCAACTAGTCTCGAGTTGATTTTTTGACATTTTGTTTCTAACACGTTTCTGAACAATATTCCCCAAAAAAACTTCTAATAGTATTTTTTTCTCGAAAAAACCGATAATGACTGGCCTATTAGAATGAATTTCCTGATATTATTTTACAACCTATTAATAGGACTTATAATGTAGAAATATTAAATACATCGAGCAGTTTTTATGGTGAATAAAATTTTATAGGTTCGTGGAGATCCAGTCCCAGCCATCACCTGGTCAAGAGATTCCATCGAAATATTTGCGGAAGATGACGACCGTTACAGCATCACACAAAAAGGCGGTTCGTGCTCGTTAACAATTTCCAATCTGCAAGAAGTCGATTCGGGAAGATTTATGTGCGAGGCCGTGAACAAAATTGGAAGGGTTTCAACGTACGCGAGACTGTTTGTCGTTAAGGATCCCAAAATTCTCACAGCCGATAAAAATTTGAAACTGTAAGCATCGATTTACTAATCAAGTGATTTTTTGTAGACAAAAAGAAAGATTTATGTTTAAAACGTTTAAAGGAGTTCTAAGTATCTTTGAAAATAGTGAAACCTCATTTTTTAAAGGGTCGTAAAAAGCTTAGTTAGGAAAATTTTTATTGTCTGCAACTGTACAAATATAAAATTGATTTAGAATGTTGAAATCATAATCCTACTATATTTATACTATTTCAGTCTTCAGTTTGCATTTTTCATTTTTGGATCAATCACGTCATTACTGATAAAACTCGGTCTAACTGAAATTTGTATAATTGAATAAATAAATAAAGCAAAAAAATAAAACTGTGTCAACATAAATTTCATACTTCAGATAATAATACAGTTGATTCTAAAACTTTCATGCGACGACTATGTACCTTTTACAACAATCAAAAACAAAATAATTGTCATATTAGACAACTGTTAATTTGAAACACATATTTCTGAAAGAAATTGTAATGAATACAGTTTTAGAGTGCGAAGATTCATTTTATTTTTATTATTAACATTAATTTTATTATATACAGCGTTGCTCCTAAAGTAAGATAGCTATCCAAAAATCATAAGACACAAACGTTTTAGTGTTTTTTAAAATCTATTATAATGAAGAAAAATTAAGTGTACAGGATCAGTCAAAAAGTCATGACGAAACAAAGTTTTTCTTGAATGGAACACCCTGTATATTATTCCTTATTTCAATTCTTCCCGAAATTCTAAACAAAATTCATATATCACATCATATACCTAAATTAATCGTTTTGGAGATATCGAACTTGGAATGTAACTTTTTGCTACTCTCAAATTTATAAAAGAAAAAGGGACCTAAATTATGGATATTTATCTTGAAAATAATACAATGTAGAGGATATGGATATGATTTAATTTTATTATTAGTTTTTTTTTTGCAAAAAATAAAAAAGAATAATAGTTCAGGATTGATAAACCTAAGATGCATGAAACGAAAAAATGTATTTTTAATTAATGTCCTGGATATTTTAAATTTTATGAAAACAATAGTTATACCAGAATAAAAAAGAGAGAAAACAAGTTAAAAAAAAAGACAATATTTTCTTTGGATTCTATTTTATAATAGTTCAGTCGTGCAAGCAAGGTTCAGAAATGGCTTTTCCAGGAAAAAAATGTAGAAGTTTTTTTCTCACCAGTTCTTTATGTTTTTTGGACTGCTGAATCTGAATCTGAGGTTTGCCACCTCGCCAGGCGTCAGCTTCATAAGGAAAATTGGAAAAAACCTCAAATTTTCGGCTCTTTTTTTCAGTTTCTTAACTATAACTTGAAAACTAAGCGTTTTTTGATGATAACTATGACGTACCAAATTAAAGTAGACAAAATTTTCTACAAATACGGATAATAACTCTAAAGTCTGGACAATCCATAACGTCGTTAGATCGTGTTGAGAATTTGTAATTTCTTGACTTTCTGTTAAAAAAGTTGAAAACGTTATTCTAAATGCGCGCTGGTGTCCTACTATCAACTTCATACACCTCTAAAATCAATTATTTTATGATTACCTGGTATGTCCAGGTTGTAAATCGGGCCTCCTATTTCAAACGAAAATGTACTACTCTTAATTCAAGGGGAAGATAGAAGGTTTTGATAAAAGAAAACATGTTTGGAACAAATTTGTATTTACATACACGAAAAAAAGTTAAAACACCATTATTTAATAATTTTCATATTCATTCATCGTCCTCATCTGCAGAATTATCACCTGAATCAACGAGAATGGAGACTAGGTAATTATAATAGTATCCATGTCGTTCATGTTCATTATGGACAAAATTTATTATGCCTTTGCACAATAGAGTATACTCTATACTCTCTTTGTCTACTTTAATTTGGTATATCATGATTTTAATAAAAAAAACGCTTAGTTTTCGAGTTATAGTTAAAAAAGTGAAAACATTTGAGTTTTTTTGTAATTCTCTTTGTGAAGCCGCCGCCTAGTGAGGTGGCAAATCTCAGATTCGTATTCAGCACCCCAAAAAATATAGAACCGGTGAGAAAAAAACTTGACATATAATGAATATGCTGTACAAAATTTTGTAGTGAATCTAAAAAGGTGTTGTTAGGAATAGTGGAAAATTCATGCCTTATCATTTCCTGCAACTCTTCGATATTTTGCGGCCTATTTTTGTAGACCACATTTTTATGTGACCCACAGAAAAAAGTCAAGCGGGGTCATATCGGGAAACCTAGCTGACCATTCAATTCCCCTCTGCCTCCAATACATTTATCAGGAAAAGTTTCATCTAGATATACCCGTACCACATCCAAAATGTGGAGGAACTCCATAAAGTTGAAACCATATTTGTTGTACCGGTAAATTGGGATTGTTATTGTTCGGGAATAATCGTCTAAGCTCTGGAATATCTTCTTGTCAAAGTAATAAATATCGTTCAGAGGTCAAATTTCCGTTTATAAAATAGGGTCCTATGACGTGTCCACCAATAATGCCACACCAAACAGTTACATTCTGTGGTCGTTGGTTGTGAACTTCCTCCATCCAATGTGGATTTTAGCCGGACCAATACCTACAATTGTGTTGGTTTACGTGTTCGTTTAAACAAAACGTAAATTAGTCAGAATATGGGGGGGGGGGGGTTGACAAAGATGACATTTTCATTTAATTTATCCATAATAACTTCGCAGAATTCTATTTTACCATCATAATGTAATTTTTCCCGTTTGCAAATTTTTTGTATGAAATATCGACTCATGCTATGATTTAAAGCCCACTGTTGTGCCGAATTTACTGAATTTTCCACCACGTTTAACATGTCATTTAAAGAATTTTCTCCACTTGTAACGTTTACTCGTCTTCCACTTTTTCTCGATCTGTAACACCTCCAGTTTCATGAAAACGCTGCAGTGTTTTTGAAACAGTTGATTTAGAATACGTTCCTGATCGGGATGCAATTCATGAAAAATATTCATATTTCGTCATATATATTTTCATCTTCTATCAGCATATCCCATGATCATTAAAACTTCAATATGTTCACTTAAACGTGTCATTTTTGCGAGAAAATTATTCACACTAAATGTATTTTTGACATGTGTCAACATAATCACTATTAGATATGAATGATGCGGCGTTGTTATGGAGCTAGAAACTTTCAAAGGTAATTTGATGGACTATAAACCTAATGGAGTAAACTGTTTTTGTATAATTTATAAGAAAATAATTTTCAAAATCGATATCTCGAAAAGGGTTAAGTTTGGGTACATGATGTGCTATATAAATGTTGTTTAGAATTTCGAGAAGAATTGAAATATGGAATAATATGTGTTGTATTTCATTAAAGAAAAATCAACTTTTCGACTGATCCTGTATACTTAACTTTTCTTTATTATAATAGATTTAAAAAAACCGTAAAACGTTTGTGTCTTATAATTTTTCGATGGCTATCTTACTTTAGGAGATAATCGACCGTATCCATACATATCAGCGATACTGTATACAATGTGTTAACGAAATAAGTACTCAAAATTGGAGAGTGTGTAAAACATGATGAAATATGATGAAAACCTCAGTAAAGTTTTTGTCAGTGGCGGCCCCTAAGGGACATACAGCCCCTTGAAGGGGTAACTCAAGAAACAGTTTTTATTTTATAAGTTCAAGACGGTTTAATATTAAATCACGAAATTTTGGGGTTGTATTATTATTTATATGCTTAGTAATCGGTATAATATACAAATCAAAATTTGCTAGAGGGGGGGGGGGGTGTAAGAAAATGCGTTTTCATGGGACAAATTTTACAATTTTTTTTTGTACGCAACTTTTTCTACTTCCTGAACCGAAAATATGAAAATTTATCATATTTTGCATAAAAAAGGTATTCTTGTTAACGAATTCGAAAACAGTACAATAAATAAGCTCCGTGCAGTTCGCATCCGCGCGGTTTCCGCCGTGTCTGAATTAGCCCATAATGCAATATTATCTTCAACGGTGAAACTACATTTACAATAAAAATTGTATGTCTCACGGGTCTTTTTTTGATATTTCTTGATTTTCAAATACAAATAATAAGAGTAATAACATTTTATTTTTCAAAATTATTTATGTAACTGTTTACTACAAAACTATCTATTTAACTGTGATATTAAGCCCTGATTTAGTAACAGTTACATATCAACTATAATAACGATGATAATAATAATAATACAAAAAGAAAATTAAATAAAAATATACATATACATATACAATTTTGAGTACTTATTTCGTTAACACCTTGCTGGGATTTATTGCCCAGTCGTCCGTAATGGATTTTTACTTAAGTCAGTTTGTAATACTAGATCGATTAGAGACTTTGACAAAACAACAGAACTACCTCCCCAATTCACCATGCGACTCAGAGACAGAAGAGTCCAAATGTCGTACCCGGTCCGTCTGACTTGCCAAGTCGCGGGATGCCCAGAGCCTACAGTAAAATGGTTCAGAGACGGTCAGGAAATCCAAAAAGATGGTAAATATCTAACCGATATCGATATTACAATAGCTGTATGCTAATTTATTAGACGATTTCTATTTTTACAGCTCGGCATGCGTTCTCGACTGAAGACAACTTCCATACATTGGAAATAGACAAAGCCCATCTGGAGGACTCTGGTGTTTACAGTGCTACTGCTCATAATACCTTTGGATCCGTATCCTGTCGGTGCAATCTTGTAGTCGACAAGGGCATTAAGGCTTATATTTCTCCAGAATTTTCCAGCCAATTGGAGCTGTCGTCGTCGGAAGTGCGCGAGGGAAGTGAACTGAGATTATCTGGCATTGTCGAGGCTTATCCCACAGTTGGTATAATGTGGTACAGAAATGGGGTAAGAAAATTTGTATTTTTAATAAATTAACTTGTACTGATAATTGGAGCAATGAACATTTCATTAAAACAGCATGATGCGATGTACTACTAGAACCTGGAGTTGAAGTGTCATTGCAAAGAATCCTGTTTGCTATTTCAATTTTGTTACTTAAACTGTCAGCAATTGTGGCTGATTTCCACCCACCATGTCTCTTGATTACATCAACTCCCATATTAGCCAGTAACGTTGCCGATGTTCTTCGCAATCAATGGCCTGTATATGTTTCAGGATGTTCTAGTTTCAAAAACTGTGAAATCTTATTAGGAATCATAGAGAAGGTATTCTTGCCGACTGGTTGGTTGTAACATCTACCTGCTTGATAGCACATAAAAAAGCGTGAAATTTCAGTTTTAATTTCCAATCTAATCTTGATTTAGAAATTTAATGTGAATTCTTCCATCCCAAATAATAAATAGTTATTTTTATGAATTTAAATAGGAACAATGTGGCGATTACTGTGTACCTAAATTATTTACTTAATAATTCAACCACAGACAACCTGATGAAATGATTACTATTCGTTAAAGAAGAATCATATACAATTTTAATAATATAAATTAAATAGTTTTGTTTGCTATAATGATAAAATTAAAATTGATCGCCGAAACAATTGTGTTTAGGTTTAATACCTTGGCTGCTTTAATAGACTCGGCTGCGCCTCGTCAGCCGCGGCATTAAATCTTGTACTTTACTTGCCTAGTGAAACAAATAACTATTTTTATTATCATGATATACGTTATTCCGTTTTTATTTAGCTGAAACTTCGCCCGTCAAGACGATCGGTGATGACTTTGTCCTATGACGGCCGTGTCGAGTTGTCGATTGGTGGAGTTACCAAGAAAGACGCTGGAGTTTACACCTGCGTAGCTACCAATGAAGTTGGGAGAGCTGAAAGCAGTGCCAAGGTAGACGTGACGGATGGGAAATCTCTTGCGGTACCTCGGGAAAAACCCGTTAAAAAAGATGTTGAAATTCCGTACGTATTATGCTTTTCCTCCTATAAAATTATACACTGTTAAAAAAATGTGTTATAGACTTGAAAGGGGGCCCAAAATATGCAAAAAAGTCTTCATGCATAGGGATGGTTCCGGATGTACTGAGGATTATTCTTTTTTTATCATGGCCTGCAACATCGCCCGATTTAAACCCTCTTGATTTGTTTCTTTAGGGATATTTGTTAATTTTAGTATACGCAGTACGCCTGTGAATGCGGAGGAGCTCCAGTAACGAGTAGAAGGACGCCAAGAGAATCGAGCCACTGTGGGAATTTTTAAAAAAGTTTCGAGGTCCTTGTGGTCGCCACGTAGTGAAAGGAAGGGAAGGCATTTTGAACATCTAACTTGATCTTTTGCCTTTTTTGCTTGTTTTTATCTGTGGTGTAAACGAAACACAAAACGTTTGTTATCCCCGAAACTGTGCATTTGAGAACCAATGTCTATAAGATTTTTCTGCTTATTTTTGGCCATACTATGGCCTCTCCAATTTTGTGACACATTTTTTAAACACCTTGTACGTTTATTGCAACATTCACGAAGTTAGTCTATTTCTGACACAAAAATAATAAAAAACACTGAAGTAGGTGTACTACATTTAAATCCATACTTATTCAGAATGACAATTATCATAAATAAATCCTACGTTGTTAATGAAGCGTGCAATACAGGTCAAATCAAAAATAAATATACCTGCCATGAAAATGAAACATGTTCACTATGTCACGACTTTTTACTGTTATTTTGCTGCCTTATTATTTATATCAATGAGATTAACATACAGTGTATTACAGTGACGTTACGACAGATTTTCAGAACAAAAACAAGACAATATTTTGTTCTAAAACAATTGTTAACAACAGAAATACTTAAGAACCATTATAGTTGTATATTTCAATCTGAAAACAGTGAAGTTCTGACATAGTAGGCACCTACACGTAAAATTTGAAGAAAAAAACGTTTCAACTTTCAAACTGAGTTATAGTCTTTCCGAAGTCAGTTGAACATGTACATAAACGCCTAGCAATAAAATTTTATGAGTTTCATAGGCGTCCCTAAAACAGTTTTCTGCTAAAGGTAAACAATTATAATAATTTGTATATAATGTTAAGAAAATTTCTATTACATGTTAATTTGGCCAACAACACATTTTAGTTACTTATGTACCTAAACATTTTTATTATATTGACGGTAAATTTCGTTTTGTTCCGTTTCAAAAGGTCTTCAAAATGCCATGTTGTAATAATATTAGTAAATAAAATGTCCCTCTTATTTCTCCCTTTCGCAAATGTAATATGAATGATTAATAGAAGGTGCTTATAATAAATTAAAATTACCTGAATCACACCACTGCACTGCTAGGCAATTTGTCAGCCACTTGTCAACAGTTGAGATTTATGGCCCAGTCACCCAGTTCGGTTATCTGTGTACGCCGTTTGCCCGCGCGCGCATTCTTCAACTGGGCATATACATTTCTACCACCTCTACGTTTAGTTCGACCAGACCTGCATGTGGGTATGGCTAAATAAATATGGGAACAAGTTTTTCAAATATTTCAATGCCGAGTTGCTGCGTCAGCGCCCGAACCTGGTACATACGCCAACCCTTTGGTTCTTCAATTGAGATCGGAAAGACTATACTACAAAGTTTACAATTATTGCAAGTTGTGAATTACATTTATTAGTAATTGAACGTCTTATTTTTAATTTAATTGCCTACATTTTAAATATAACTTTCCAACAAAATTGCATTACCTAACATTCTCGGTATATGTTTATAAATAATTTATATTTCCTTTCTAGGTATTCCAAGGAGCCTAAATTTTTGAAAAAGCCAAGATCTACCGAAGCATATGAGGGTGACAACATTGTCATCTTGTGCGAAGTTATTGGAGATCCTAAACCAGAAGTTGTTTGGCTTCGAGATTTTTTGAAGGTCAGTCGGTTTTGCTAACACTAACTGAGTTTTAGTCTCGAAAAACCTGATATTTAATTGAAATATTTACACAATTTTATGCAATTACTGTAGTTTAACATTTTTTTCAAAGCCATAATTTCAAGCACAGGAGCAACATTTTGACGAAAGTCTAAATAAGTTGTCATATTCGAATAAAAAAAAAATCTAAAAGTGAGGCAAGAAAACGGTGTCCCAAAACTAACGCAGGATTTGAATTGTGCCCCATTTTCATGCCGAAGAGTTGGCAGCGTTGTGCAGAGTCACATGTTGTAGTAAACACGGTGCGGTTAGACCAAAGTGTGGAGAGTATGTAGCTGAGACTGTGCGTAAATTACGTAGAATTTTCAGGGGTCGATAGAAATTCAAAAAATAATACGAGTTTGTTATATAAACTACATTCGAGAAGCGCTTCGTTAAGGAAATACAAGGTGTTCAAGATTGGTTTAAAAAAAATAAATTTATTAATTATTGCTAAACGACTAAAGATATTTCAATGAAATTTTGTAAACGTTAACACTATCGAGGGAGCACGTTTTTCAATGAAAAACTTTATTTTTAATTTTGCCAGTGGCGTCCGTACTAGCGTATTACTGGACATTTCTAAAGAAAATATTGGTACGACACTGCTTTTTTATAAAATAAAAATCAGTTTTGGATTCTTCAATCAATTTGGAAGAAAAAAGCTCGCTTTCGATTTTTCTGTACGACTCGACGTTTTCAAGTAAAAAAAGTCAAAAACCCTTTTAACACAAAATGTAAATGCAATTTCATTTTTTATGTTAATGAAACTGTAGCATGAAAACACAGTTTTAATTAGTGGAGTATAATAACAACAACAAAATAAAATAAGTTAAACAAATTGCTTGAAATGTAGTCCACCCACCTCGATATATTTTAGACATAGTGTAACTAATGAATTTATTGCAGCAGATACTTCATTTGGATTTCGCCGCATATCATTGCAAGCTTGCTGAATCCTTAAAACTAAATCATCTCTAGTTAATACTAGACTGGCGTAAACTTACAAACTTACTTTGTTTTTTACATTTCTCCAAACGTAAAAGCCAAGTGGATTATAAGCCGGTTACCTGGATGGCCAGACCACTGGTCCAATGCTGTTAACCACGTCATGATTCATGTCATTCCTCCCTAGCTGGCCGATCCAACGTTAGCTACTCTCTTATAGCTATTCCAAAATGCGCGAAGGAGGGGGAGGAAGGGGGGGGGGAAGGAGGGGTTCTATCTAGTTGTATCCAACTTTCATGTCTTAAGTTAACGATGTAGCCGTGTAGGTTATTAGTAAGAAATTCGAAGTAATTCTGAGTTTAACATTGAAAAAAACATTGTTATCAAAAACTCCCAACCAAATATTTACGGAAAGAATTTTCAAGTGCCCAAACATGGATATTATTCATTATTAATACGCAGGCCAAAGTTACGAAACATTTGATGCGTTCAAATGTTTTTATTTGGATAACGTCTTCGATGTTCACGAGCTTCCGCATTTCTATCACAAAATCCATAACAAAAATGAATATCTGCGTTTTCTTCGTTACTAAAAGGCATATTTCAAGATAACACATGTGACATACTTACTAATTAAATTGACAGAAAATTAGTTATTTTGTCGTACTTACTCAATTGTTTTGTAGAGGTCACGTTGAAAACTCTGAGTCGTACAAGAATCGAAATAGAGCTTTTTCTTCTAAATTGAATGGAGAATCCAAAGCTGATTTTTATTTTATGAAAAACCAGAGGCGTGTCAATTTTTCTTTTTAGAAATATTCAGTAACGTGCTAGTACGGACGCCATTGGCAAAACTAAAAATAATATTTTTCACTGCAAAACGTGCTCCCTCGATGGTAGTTAAAATTCTACAAAATTTCATTGAAATATCTTTAGCCGTTTGGCAACAATTAATAAATTTGATTTTTTTAAACCAATCTTGAACATCTTGTATTTCCTTAACGAAGCATTTCTCGAATTTAGTTTATGTAGCAAACTCATATTATTTTTTGATTCTCTATTGGCCCCTGAAGTTTCCTCATGGACTACTAGACCATCCTGTAGAATCTTTTGAAAAGCAGTCGAGTATTCCAAATGAGTCGCGGGACATCTGTCCGATAATCTCTTTCATATTTAATGGCAATGTCTACTCTTTAAAAACGTAAAAAACATACCACTTTTTACTTAATAAAATCGTTTTTCCTCATATGAAATTCTGTTTTTATTTTGGGTTTTTATTTTTGGATTTCAATCATAATCATAAAACAAACAAAAATAGATTAATTTTCATAAATTTAACTGGATATAATTCGTTTAAGGAGTAAGACGTAGGTACTTTTAACCTGACAACTTTCTTAATAGGAAATTGTTTTGTGCAGTTAATTTAACAATAACAATGCTCGCGTTTCGGTATCTGCTGGTTGCTCAAGTCAACAATGATTATTAAGTAAAGTAGTGCGACTGCATGCCCCAGTTGCAAATTTCTGAATATTTTAAGCATTTACCGATAATTTTACCTAGATGTATGTGGGAATGCCGCAATTCGAACATTTCATCATTTATAAGTACGTACTTACATGAATTTCCATATATGACTGAAATGCAGTTTACACAATACGACCTGACGTGACTCATTATTCAGTTGACGTCTTTACCGATGGAAGAAAACACACTCCCACAATATAACAAAGATCTATATTTAGATTATATTGTAAATACTCGAAGATGTTATCACCGCCTGGCCATTGGGCCGGTATTCGTAAATTGGCGTTGGGAAATCGTGGGTCATTTAAATGTCGTTGTTCTTCGTCTTGCGTGTACCAAAAAAAAAGTGCAAAACTGTAAACGAGTGGTTGTAGGAATTAATTTTGTTTAATTAATTTGCCGTGTCTTTCTTTTGCTTGTTGACAATTTGTCGCCTCGTACTCTTTTCCGGTCGCTTATATAATACTAGCAATAATTTTTCTGTACGATAATTCTCGGCGTTTACACAAGAACTACCATTTTAGAGTTCCCCATGAAATAAGAATGATTATCTACTAGCGTATTAGTGGTGCAAAGGTAGCTTAAAAATATGCATTATTTCGGAATAATTAGCAGAGTTTTGGATTTTCATAAACCTTTTGCAATCGCCTTGAAATAGCTTGTAGAAAAAAGTTATAAACTTATATTTGTATGTTAATTATTATTTAATTGTTTAAACAATAAAAAAACGGGTTTTCAAAGATTATTTTAAATAAATCAAAAAATTTCAAACCAATTTTAATAAAATTGATACTACAGGGGTTTTCGAGGTTACTGAATAAGAATATAATGTTAAAAAATAGAAATTCAAAATGGCTGATCCAACATGGCCGACTTTTTTAAACAATTTATTAAAAAATGACAATTTTCAAAGTAATTTTAATCAAATTGATATTATAGGGATTTTTTAAGTCGCTGAACAAGAAAATAAAAATTCAAAATGGCTGATCTAATATGGCCGACTTTTTAAAACTATTTATTTAAAAATTACATTTTCAAAGCTATTTTACTCATATTGATATTTTTAGGATTTTTCAGATCATTTTAAAGAAATTTGGGTATGATGTTTAATTAATAAATTTATTAAATATGAAAAAGTATTTGCATATTAAAAATAGTAATATAAAAAAATAACAATATTCAATTTCCATTCTCTTGAATCATTGTAAGTTCTGGCAATTGGTCTGAGTCTCGTTCTTCTTCGAAAAATGCTTGGCAATTGAGACAGTCAGATCTGGGACAATTAAAGCATGCTATGGTGCAAAGTAGACCCGCCTTCTGGCAACCGCAACTATTAGCACAGCCACTTTTGCATCCGCAAATAAACCATTTTGAGAAGTTCTTGATGCGCCAGGTGAGCTCCATTCACTGAGTAGATGTTCTCTATATCTTTTTCTAATATTCAAAAATATAATTCTCCAATCACGAGAATGAATTACATTACAGATAAACTTCTACCACATAATTTCATCATGAAAAAATATAGGTAAAACTGAATCTCGGGACAGTTTATTGAAAAACCGTATTTTTTCGAATTTTTATACAATATTATAGTAACAAAAATTTTATTTTTCTTTGATTATACTCTTTTTAATATTATAGTTTGAAAATATGTATTGGTTAATCAAGCAAAAAAATTTTTTTAACTTTATTTTAAGTTTATTTAACAACAAATTTCATCGTTTTAAAATTTTTTTGTTTTGTTTTTATTTAAATTTGATTATAAATTCAATGATTTAAGTAAAACAAAATGGACCATATTAAAGTACAGTTTTCAAGCTTCAAAATATGATCCTCTAAAGTTGCAATATCATATATTGGACTTTGAAACGTGACCTAAAAAATCAAATTTGCCTTTTTTTAAATTATTGAATATTTCTAGCGTTATATTTTTCGAAATAAAATTTTAAGATTTTTTTGTATCACTCACTATTTTAAATGTTATTTCAAGAGTAATCTCTGAAAGTTTTAGATTTTTATCTTAAAAATTAAAAAAATGGCAGATCTTTAATTAATTTTGTAGAAAATTCTACCGTTACTTAACTTTATTTACACACTATTCCTGTAAATATTTTTATTCGATTCTAAAATCATGATAACTTGTTAGCTACAAGATTCCCCTTTCATTTACATTTTTGTGGACTTAATTTGATCAAATAGATCAAAAGTTATTACAAATTTAGTGGAGAGCGCGCGAGGCCGCATTTACATGTACATTTTCGTACGGTTTAAAAAAAATTCTACAACCTACAGTTGTCATTTTAGAAAATAACTTTATATACGTTCTTCATGTAAAATTTCCCGTTCGTTCGATTGGCGCAATTAATTAAAAAAAATGAAATTTGTTAAGATATACAGGGTAGCCCATCGAAAACGTACCGCAAGGCATTACAGGGTAGTAAAGAACTTTTCGGCGAAATCCAAAAACAGGTCAAATTTGTTTCTGAGGG